CCCCCCCCCGGAACCACGCGTGTGTTTCTAATGTTGACAGTCGTAGAAGATAAGACAAGTCTTGCTTGTGTCCTCGTCCTTACAGGCCAAAAATTCCTGTCTTAGTCGTACTGGCCCTACCGCGAGGAAACGAGGTCCACCGTTGTTCTGGCTAGCTTCCTGTGCATAGGGGAGAAAACCTACTACCAAGGATGCAGAATACTCGTGATTCAGAAGTCTCTTTTGGTAGCATGAAGTTCTTGAGGCTGGATCTTTTTTGTCTAGGTCGCGCACTGTCAAACCAAAGGCGGGTACAGCAGTATTTTTCGTCCTTTTCAAACCGTTTCATTTTCTGTCTTGCTATCAAGAGGTGTGAAAGAGGTTGTTGCTGAGCACACCACTCGGAGCGAAGATTGTACCCTGCGTGCGGAACCAAGCCTCGCCACCACGTCTCCACGCTCGCTTTTGACGAGACTATGATGACCGCTTGTCCAAGCTAACTGTTACGTGCAGAGCCTACAGCAGGAGATGGTACAGTAGTATTGGTGGTGTATTTAAACCTGGGGGTTTCCGTGGCTTGCGGCCGTAATCCTGGCCTGTACGTCGAAGCCCGATGGGGGAAGAAGGCTCCGATAAACCTGAGGCAATCCAGTAGACAATGAAGAGACGAGACGGCCGGGCGTAGCTGGGTGAGGTAAGAGGAACCAACAGAAACTGTAACCGCAGCCTCTCGTATCTCGTTTACAGAGCGTGTCGGCAGGTGGCGAGGGGAAAAGAAAGGAGGGTGTAGTCGTTGTTTTGCCTGTAGATACTTGCCCCGAATTCCTCAAGGCGGCACGCCGTTCATGCTCCAGATGTTGCGACCTCCGGTGTTTGAGCACCCGTTGCATCTTTACTTGAAATCTCATGAGCTTTCCGATACGTGGCAACGGTAGCTCATGAGCTTTCGCACATCAAGGGCAACATACCGGCTGCCCATGTGGCGTTCGTCATACACCCATGACGAGCCACGGCTGCTTACGGGCTGCCTGTTGGACGTCCCATGAGTAGTACCGGTGGTGTACTTGTCCCCCCTTTCCATTTTCGGTACGCTTTCTTCTGTGGAGATGCCCAAGCTCGATGGCACGCGGTGCGTTGTACCTTCAACGGCAAACCGTTTGCGGCAGCTGCACTTTGTCGTACTCGCGCCTGAAAGCTGCCGCTACTCGGACACGTTCGCAGGAGAATGGATCCCCGGTGTCTCTTGTGTGCGACATCTCTACTTCCGAATTTACACCAGCGCTTCCAAGTAGCGTTGTGCGCACGAAGTACAGTCGCCTTGCATCGTATCCTGATACCTCACAACGAACAACATACCTTGTCGTACTTCTTTCGGAACGTAGCCGTGATGAACAATTCGAACGCCTGCACCCCGGGGACGCATCCCTCCAGTCCCCGGTCTGTGGTCAACCCGGCCTCTTCCTTGTCCAGTTGTTCTGACATGGTGTCCATTGCCACGTCCGCCTTATGCAAAATCAAACATGCACACGCAGACAGTGTTTATGCGAAACCGGGCTGTTGTAAGACGCGAAATGGTAGAACATAGCGAAAGGCGGACGGATGAAGCTAACACTCCGCAGACGATAGGTTGCCACCAAAACAGCAAGCAAAGAAAATTACGGGGAAAATCAATGGAATGGCACAAGGTATAATGCAGCAATATCCACGGCTTGCACGGTATAGAGTTCTCGACAGGAACGGGCATCCTAATTGGTCATCCATACGCAGGGTCACCTGACAAACACGCTTGTCCCAGGGCAAGGGGCTGAGACTGGGATGGAGATGAAAACATCATCCTGCTTGGAATGTCAGGAATATTATTCTAGGGTGAGAACCACCTCAACGAATGAATCCTACAACTTATCCACTTCAGATAGCGTTTTTTGCAACGAGGAATGATGCAACAATGCACGAGCCAGCCTTACCCTAGGGTAGGGGCTTCGGCAGTGCAGGTACCAGCCGTGGTACTTCTCGTCCAGGACCAGGACAGAAACCTTGGCCATTGTCGCTAGATCCACAAACCTTCCGTACAAGAGCGGAAGGAAGCGCAAGCGCGACGTTGGGGGTTGGTTCGGCATTGGGTCATTAGGGAGAAGACCGTGGTGGGCATGATACAAAAAATCGATACGCTCGCTTTGCCTCTTGGTTGCCTCCCTTTTTTATTACTTTTTCTCGGAAATTGGTATACTTTTAGGGGTTGTTCGCCTTTCGTGTGGTGTTTTTGTGTTGCGCTACAGCGTTCTTTCGAATGGTATATTCAAGCGCGAAAGTTGTGGTGAAGCAGAATTCTTTCAATGAGAGTTTTCTCACGGACCCCTCACTCTGCGGTAGCTTCACGGCTTGCATTGTGGAAAGGGTCAACCTTGCATGGTGGGTTTACCTCAGCTCTGGTTGCTCGAGGATGTAGCGCTCTGTGATGAGGCAAGCGACGAGCCACTGCAACCCGCAGATCAGGGACCACCAAAAGGTCACGTTCGCGAATCGTAGAGCCGGGTTGAGCTCCCCCTCCTAAGGTTATTGAACGAAAGGGTATAAGCAGGGAGGGGGAAAGAGGGAGGGTGCCTTTAGTATTTTCGCTGTGGGGGCCGCCCTGGTTTGAGGAGTCCGACTCACGAGTATCGGAGATGGAGAACTGTGTCGTTTTCCCGGTACAGAGACCATTAGGTGCTCTATTCCTGAATCTCTTTACAAGAATCATGGCGTTTTGAGCGAGTGGGCAACAATCGCCCATGCTGGGGACTGGAGAACGTGTTTCAGCACGCAGAGAACTGGCTTGCGTTGAATGTTATATTTCCCGAAGTATTGTGAGGAAGTGGATCCGGGTGTTGTTGGCAGCTTTAAGCAAGAGGGGGTGGAGGGCACTCGCAGATGCCATACCGAGCTCAGTGGCATGATTGGCCCTGAAAGTTACTCTAGTCAACGCGACGGTTGCTTGTAAGTGAAGACGTCGGGAATGAGAGTGTTTCGGGATTTTCTCGACTCTCGCTTTCTCTCTCCGTCCGAGATGGTGGGAATGACCGGAATGTTGCAAAGTCGAGGAGCAAGACAGGGCCGATCTCCGAACTTCCAACGCGCTTTGCTACGTTGCTGTATTTGCCATCCTTTCGGGTTTCCTTCGCTTGGTCTCTTCACCTGCTGCGACACAAGAAAACGTACTGTTCATCTTGCACGTGTAAAACACTGCGTACTTTCTCCTGCCACAAATCCACGGCCTAGACCAAACAGAATGGCTTAAACGCGCGCTGACAAGGGCACGCATGAGGAAAACCCTGGTTCACCTCCGTGTCCGTGAGGTCCGGTTGTGGAGTGGCGTTGTAGCGGAGCCTCCCGCCCCCCAACACGAACGCCATCCAAACCAAGGAGAAAACAGGGTTAACTCGCCGCCTCGTGCCCAGTCGATTCCACTCGTTGGCCACCTGTAAGGACGGGGCGGGGGGGGTGTACTGTATTGCACTCCCTAGGAGGGGGGCGGGGGGCCTCATTGGTTATTTGCCTCCGTCGTGTGGCCGTTAGTTGCGCATTGGTTACGACGTGGCGCGTTATTCCTACTCTTGAAAGACACGTTGCCAACACTCTGGCGATCTCGATGTTTCTGCCCTAGACTGCAACTGAAGGGGGTTTGCTTCCCCGTGTTTTCCACTTCTTTGGCACTCTTCAACGACATTGTCTCTAGTCTAACAGTCGTTCGGCCATTATGGCACTTTGCTCCAAATCCGATGACGTCATTAGTGCTCCCCTCTTTGCTCAGTTTCAAGCAATCCATGCCGGATAGGTCATCGTCGTTCTGGGTGCCACAACAACAAGTCACAGACGTACCAAGAAAAAACCGTTACTATTTTGTTGCATCCATTCTGGGAGTACTCGGTTGTCTATCCGTACCAGTAACTGTCGCCACACCGACACACCGCCGCCTTGATTTGGAGCCCCTCCGCGCCCCGCTTGCTGCCCTTTTCGCGCCCCATCCTGCCGGAAACGAACATATCACACGTTTGTTGGTGGTTTTTGCCAAGTTTACAACAACCAAGAACATTCAACAAGAAAAGAACAAGAACAAGTCAGTGATATTCCAACCTGTTACTTGTAGTGCTTTACACACACACATGATGAACGTGAAAGATACTCCAGAGAGAGACTGCCGCCCGCAATAACTATATCCCGGAATAGTAGGCACGAAAGGCCAGAGAAGATGAATCAAAGGTGTGGGTGCCCGTTCGATTGTGATGTAGGAATGGCCGTTCACGTGGTGTGATATGCGTGGATGAGTGGACATTAAGACACACGCGACCGCTGAGAGCGAGGGTGTTGTGCTACATCTAGCACCTCCAACGTATGCAATCAGCGACCACGACTTTTGTTACAACTATTACGAGATGGGAGAAACTCTGGGGTGTATATGAGATCACTCATGGTGCCTGGGTCGGTTCGAAACCGAGACCGTTATCCAGAAAGAGAACCGCATATCAATTGGTTTGACAAGGTAAAGGGAAACAAGCAAAATGCAACGGATTATGGCAACATACCTTTTCCCAGTCGATAAGGAAGACGTCGGAGGTGATCTGGCGGTAGACCAATGATCCCACACGAAGAACCTGATAACAAACAACCAATAGCATCACCGAGATGCCAATCCTGTTTTAGTTCTTCTGTGGGTTTTCGTCGACCAACACACTGTAGTAATACAAAGTATCAATACGACAGTTTGTATGACACCGGTACCGGCTCAATGGCTAGTCAACGATCAAATAGAGAAGTGACATCTCTGACGAAACGTTTGGATGAATTTTTTTCCGTCTCGGTGTCAGAAAAGCTTGTTCAGCCACACGGCCTAATCTATACCGTTGTCGGAGTGATACATCACAATACCCGAGCTGCAACTTGGAGCTGCCGCATTGGTTTCCCATGTGCAACACCAACATGACGACAACATCACGGCCTACTTTCAGGCTTGCGAACGAGGCCACCACCATATCGCCACACCTGAAACATGAACATGACGGTCACCATCAGCTCCAGAGGAAAGTACTCTCCCGTCGACCCGTACCCTTCGCGATCGGCTGGAAGCATCAGGAACACGCTTTGCTTCATGATTCACGCCGGTCAGGGGGGTATGAAGCAAAGAAAGGTGGTACGGGCAACCCAACAACAAGTGGTCAATCGGGATGATAACGACACGCCGAAGATAGTTCCCGAAGCAACTCAATGAAAAGGGGTCGTGGTTTGATCTTCCCTGCATCGAACCACCTCGCTCGGTGGAACACACCCACCCTTTTAGCGCCCTCTCTTTCTCCAGATGCATCGAATACGTCTCAATCGAAGACTGCGTCTATTTCCCGCTCGTACCATAACCAAGCACATTTTTCTCGCCAAAGGCACACCAAGAGAAAATCCACCGACCTTTGATGCTGTTCGTGTCATGCTGCTTCTGACGAAATATTTCATAGAAAACGAACTCTTGGGCGAATACCAAAAATAGACTGCTCACCTGCAGCTTGAAGAAGACGAAGAAGTAGGAGGATATCAGGAACGTGAAGGGGAAGAGGAATAGCACGAACGTGTGGCTAACCATCAGCAGCCCCTGGAACAAGAAGGGCCAGTTGACCATCTGATACATGTACCTCGGAGCCTGAGATTGTCGTGTCACAGATGGTGAACAGTCAACTTTCGAGGTTTAAGCCGAGGTTAAGGTGAGTTTTGTCCATGGTTAAATCTATGTTAAACCGAGGTAAAACCGAGGTGAAACCGAGTTCAAACTAAGGATGCCGAGGATAAGCCGAGGTTCTGCCAAGGAAGACGCGGACAAGCCGAGGATAAGCCAAGCAAGGTTACCAAGGATAAGCCGAGGTTAAGCCGAGCTTGCCGAGGATAGGCCGAGGGTGAGCCGAGGGTGCCAATGATAAGCCAAGGATAAGCCGAGATTAAGCCGAGGTTGCCGAAAATAAGTCGAGATTGCTGAGGATAAGCCGAGGATAAGTCGAGGTTAAGCCGAGGATGGATAAGCCGAGGTTGCTGAGTATAAGCCGAGGATAAGCCGAGGATGCCGAGAATAAGTCGATGAGCCGAGGTTAAGTCGAGGATGGATAAGCCGAGGAAAAGCCGGAGATAAGCCGAGCTTGCCGAGGATAAGCCGAGGATAAGCCGATCATTGCCGAATATAGCCCGACGGTAAGCCGAGGTTAAGCCAAGGCTAAGCCGAGGATAAGCCGAGGTTGCCGAGGATAAGCCGAGGATAAGTCGAGGCTAAGCCGAGGATAGATAAGCCGACGTTGCTGAGGATAAGCCGAGGATAAGACGAGGATGCCGAGAATAAGCCGATGAGCCGAGGTAAAGTCGAGGATGAATAAGCCGAGGATAAGCCGGAGACAAGGCGAGCTTGCCAAGGATAAGCCGAGGATAAACCGAGGATAAGCCAAGGCTGCCGAGGACACGCTGGAGATAAGCCGAGCGTTGCCGAGGATAGCCCGAGGATAAGCCAAGGTTAAGCCGAGGATAAGTCGAGGGTAAGCCGAGGATAAGTCGAGGGTAAGCCGAGACTGCCGAGGATAAGCCGAGGTGGCCGAGGATAAGCCGAGGTTGCTTAGGATAAGCCGAGGATGAGCCGAGGATAAGCCGAGAATAAGCCGAGGTTGCCGAGGATAAGCCGACGTTGTCGAGGATAAACCGGGGATAAACCGAGGATAAGCCGAGGATAATTTGAGCATAAGCTGAGCGTAAGCCGACGTTGCCGAAGATAAGCCGAGAATGCCGAGGATAACCCGAGGATAACCCGAGGTTGCAGAGCATAAGCCGAGGTAAAGTCGAGGTAAAGCCGAGGTAAAGCCGAAGATAAACCGAGGTTGCTGAGGTTAAGCCGAGGCGAAGCCGAGGTGAAGCCGAGGTGAAGCTGAGGCTAAACCGGGGATTAGAGGAGAATACGCCGACAATGCCAAGGATAAGCCGAGGTTGCTGAGGATAAGTCGAGGTTAAGCCGAGGTTAATCTGAGGTTGGCGAGGATAAGCCGAGGTTAAGCCGAGGATAAGTCGAGGTTGCCGAGGATACGCCGAGAGGTTAGGCCGAGGATGCCGAGGACAAGCCGACGTTAAGCCGAGGACCAACCGAGGTTGCCGAGGATAAGCCGAGGATTCGCCGAGGATAAGCTGAGGATAAGCCGAGGATAAGCTGAGAATGCCGAGGATAACCCGAGGTTGCCGAGGATAAGCCGAGGATTAGCCGAGGATACGCTGAGGATAAGCCGAAGATAAGCTGAGAATGCCGAGGATAACCCAAGGTTGCCGAGGATAAGCCGAGGATCAGCTGAGGATAAGCCGAGGATAAGCCGGTTCTTGGCTATCTGTCGTTGATTTCTATTGACTTGCGGACCCTTCGGCTCCATTTATTTCTATTTTGGTTACCATTGTTTGGGTAAGTTAGCCTGTGACCACGGGAATCGACCGCGTCAAGGGTTGGTTAGACTAGTGCGGAATAAATGAAGGTACTGGGTAGAGAGATCGGAACGGTTTTTTATGTGAAGACAACAACAACAACAACAACAACAAGCCGAGGTTGCTGAGGATAAGCCGCGGATAAGCCGAGGACAAGGCGAGGTTGCCTTCAATATGGACCCGTGGCCTGGTGCAAAGGTCGTCCGCGGTGTTCAAATTTCTGCCCCGTATCCCTCTCGTTTGTTGGGTATATGTCATCCTGCTGTATGCTGCACGGCGTCGGCATGACCCACCTCGCGGTTTAACAGAAGAATTCCAACTGGGAGGGCGAAGAGTACCGGATCCTCATGCAGTTCCCGCCAGTTGTAGAGGGGTTATTGTGATCCTTGTGCTTCTTCTTGCGAGGTATTTGTGGCGGATTCTGATACGAGTTCTTGTCACAAGTTGGTGGCGGCGAAAGGTAGTGATGGAAATACCTTCTCAACAACAGTTCCACTACTATGCTCTGCAACATCAACAGCAGAACCCCACCCACCCACCCAACTACAACCAACAACAATGCATGGATACACCACTCACCACTATCTGCGCAGGTTGTATGTAGCGGCTGACCCGCACGTGCCAATTCCTGAGTCGCCAGAGCCCAGTGAGACTTGTAAGGACAAGGACTACGGCAAAGAATGCCCGGCAGAGGTTCCAAAAGCTCTGCGTGGGGCATACATATGGGCCAAAGGGGTCTTGTGGCCTCTGGAGCTGCCAGTAGTTTACATCGCCAAAAGCCAAGAGGGTATTGTTGCCTCTCGAGCTGTTCGGTACTCTACACCGATAAAAGTCAAGGGGTGTTGTTGCCTCTCGAGCTGTTCAGTGTTTACAGCGCTAGGAGACAAAGGGGTATTGTTGCCTCTTGAGCGGTTCAATTGTTTACAACGCTTTGTTGATGCTGTGGCCCTGCCGTTGTGCTCCCTTTCCAGACAAACACACCAACCAAAGTAGCACAGGGTTCAGAGGTATTGGAAGTGACGAGGCCATCGTCTCCCGTTCTCTCCCGTTGATGCCGGTTCTTCGTGTGATGTTCGCTCCAGTTTCCCGATCCCATGGGCTTGTCTCTTATGACCACATGTACATTAGGTGTTCAGTCAACATGTGGCTGGGGACACATCGAATTACACTTGGTAGTTCGAAAACGTTATCCACAAAATACGATGCGCACGGTCGCAGCGATTCATGATTACGTATCATTCAGTTCGATTTATTTGCCAGGACAGGGAGGTTGGGCGGGAGACTCACGGCTGCAAACGATGTACCTGTGTATCCATGGTGTACTCCACGGTGAAAGTCACCGTCGGTTGCTGCAGGGAAGGTTCCGTATCCCACAGGGCCGGCTTCACTTCCGCGTAGGTAACCTTTCGGGTGTAGCGTAGGGTAATATTGAGAGAGGAGAGAAGAGGGAGGAGAGAGGGAGAGGGAGAGAGAGAGAGAGAGAGAGAGAGAGAGAGAGAGAGAGAGAGAGAGAGAGAGAGAGAGAGAGAGAGAGAGAGAGAGAGAGAGAGAGAGAGAGAGAGAGAGAGAGAGAGAGAAAGAGAGAGAGAGAGAAGAAGAGAGGTTTCACAGTCGATGGGGGGTCTTGAGGGAGAGGAACCCTCCTCTGTCGCCCCAACACTGCTAAAGTGACAAGAGGGTGAGAGCCTGGTGCAACGTGAAGACCCTATGCTATGGCCAAAGCAAGCAGTGAGAAATGAAGGCAACGACTGATTGATCCAAACACTTTGGGCCAGCATTCAAGCCCGTGTTGTTCGACCGGATTTATGCGTTTGATGGATAGGCACAAGTCATGCGCCCCTTAGACCCAGAGGACGCCGCTCGCCTCGAGGATGGGAGGGTAGATGCTTTCCGGCGCCCCGTCCCGAATCTTGAAGGTCAGTCGCATCGAGGTCGCGTACCGCAGTACCTCGGGTACAAAGCCACCCCCCCCCACTCCGCCACCGCCGCTGTTCGCTGCTTCCGCGTCGCTCCCAGAAGAGAAGGAGGAGGTCGTGCCGCTTGCGTCGGTTATCCTGCCATTGATTGTCGTGGCCGTGGTCGTTGTTGTTGTTGTTGTCGTACGTGCTGCTATTATGCAGCTTTGTTTGCTCGGTGAGAGTTAATCATCATTAATTGACAGCCGAACGTGGTGGTCAATCTATGAACGCACGGAATGCCATATTGATGTGGTTGCCCTCGAATTTCCCTCCACGGGGCATTCTTCCACAAGAAGAAACGGGAGTGAGAAAATCGCCCGCTTTGCTGCTTGTAGAGGGTTTGTCCGTGCCCGAAAACCGAAACGCACGACACAAACCGAACCTGGCCGCGCTGACGTAGCTGCAAAACAGTGTTGAAGTCATTGACGAGTCAAAGGTAGCCCCTTTACCATTACGGTGCGTCAGACATGGTGGAGCGGAGCAGTTATCTACCTTAAGACAGCACCAACGGAGTAACAACAACAGAAAGGATAACAGGGTGGAACAAACATTTGCCCAGATGCAGAAGTATTATCCGCCTTCTCGGTCCAGCTTACCCGGAAACGCTGTCAAAGAAGAAAAACCGCCGGGTGAAAACGTCGTCGAGTTCGTCCAACGCTCGGATGTTCAGGTTGGGTGTGCTCACGCCGTCACCGTAGTTTACATTCAACACCGCTATGGGGTGAAGCTCGCCGGTAGCCTACGGTGTTTTCGAGGGGAATGAACGCAGACAACGAGTTGTTTTGAACGGTCGTTTGGAGTACAATGTGCTGAGAAGTGGAGGGTAAGGAGTATGACAAACGGTTGAGGTTTCATTGCGGAAAAGGTGGTGCTGCTGCAAAATAGAGGTCGACCGCGTGTGGACTATCTAGAGGGATACGTTTCACACTAGAGCGGTTTGATTGTCCATGCGGTGAAACCAGCTGAAAGCATGGGCATCCGCGTAGCTCCAATTTCCTCTCAAACAAAAAAAAACTCGCCTCGTCGACGATGTACGGGTCGTAGAAGAAGGCTTCCTCTCCGAGAAGCGACTTGAGGTCGCACTCGAAGGTCTCCGTCATGCTGTGCCCAAACTTTAGGTACTTGGAGCTTCGGCTCTGACCTCCGCCTGCCGAGGTGTCTGGCGCGCCCACCCCGCAGTAGTATGGCTGTTTCACACGAGAAACACAGCAAGCAGTCGTTGTAAAAACATGACTGGTCCTCAATCAACGGCCCCATATTTCTGTTCTTGTACAATGACAGGGAAGGCACATCCCAAAAATAGGTGAGACGGAATACGACAAACTCTGCCTCGCACCGCCTCCGGAAAACGGCTGCTCGCCTAACTGCAGGACCCCCCGATCCTTGTCCCGCTATGTATGGCCCGAACCTGGGTAGACATTTCTTCCATGCCGAGCCACGTGCCGTCGAGGGAGTACTTGGCAAGGATTATCCTCATCTCGCTGGCGAACGTTAGCTGCATCTCGATGTCTGTGCCGTCTCGAACGTCCGAAGCCTCTTCGATGTAGGTCAGCCAAGGCAGGGTCACCCCCCACCCCGTCTGAGACCGAACCGCACACGACAACACGCAAAATGTCGCACGTGCCAGCACAGGACATAAGATAGCACGTCATCCCTCAGCAATAGTCGTGGGAGGGTCCAAGAACAGCTGCGCACGGTCATGCTCATTTATCTAAAAAAACTGTCAGAAGTTCTTCCTTACACGTTCCCCCCCCCTCCCATCAAGCACAAGCCAACGCCCGACACAAACAATGAGGACGGCTTAGCGCACAGCTGCTCCCCATGAGCGTCAGAACTTGGTGACAAACCGTCTCCGAAAAAACGGCGAGAAAATCTCCATGTAGAATTGCTTCCGCAACAATCATCCGAGTGCCTATTCAGCCGTCGCACCCACCTGGCCGTGGTTGTTCCCGAGGCGATTGTTCAGCACCGCGGAGAACAGCGAGCAGGCCATGGACGAAGGGTCGTGCAGCTGTAGCGCGCAGAGGTTGCCTAAGCTCTGCGTGCGTGCGTGCGTGCGTGCGTGCGTGCGGCGCGGTTCGATTTCGTGTTAAGCGTTGTTGCGGCGTGGCTTTGGCAGGACACGACAGAAAAGCAAGGCGGGGGAGTGGAAGGAGAAGCTGTTGTGTTTCTGCGCGACCGTTAGTAGCTGCAGGTTGCTGTCGGCACGTTTCAAAAATGGATCATCGTGCGTACGTCCTAGTGCACTCGTTTCAATGGAGGGGAGGGGTGGTGGTCAGCATTTGGTGTGCACTCTACTCGTCAAGATCGCCCCCCTTGTTGTTCGGCTTCAATGGCCGTCATTGAAAGTCAATTGTTCCCGCGGAGATATATCTCTCAGACACTTTGAACGTTACCGCAAGCTTTAACTCGCTTGAAGATACTGAAAAATTGCTACAATATTGGATTGCCACACTTTGGTTTTGAAACGGCCAACCTGGCAGGCCTGCAGGCCGTCTCCACCGGAGCCGGTGTAGCTGTAGCAGCTGGCGCCCGCCCAGGTGAAGAGGTGCTCCAGGGTAAGTGACGTAAGGGTCTCCGATGGGGGAAGGGTCGACTGCACCGCGGTGATGAGACTGAGGAGCAACCAGATGGAACCACATATCGAAATATTCATCGGAATGCGGGTTCACAATTTGGTCGAACTGGGATACACTCATGAAGGTGCCCGTTCGGGTGGATTAAATTAAACGTATGGTGGCAATGCTCTTATGCCGACCGACGCGATCATGCTTACGAGACAAGCATGGGAAAAACAAGCAGATTCCACGCAACACAAAGTGTGTCATCAGCAAATGGACCGGGAGGTAGGCAACTTTGTCAATTCTTGATGGAATGCGCCACTGTTGTAGCGCCGCTACAAGGGCGCGTCAGTATTGAGGGGGCTCGGAATTCCCAATGACAGACTGCTCAACTTTACCCTTTCGGCGACGCTTGAACAAAGCGACGTTATCAAAACGAGGAGGGAAACCAATAAAGGTAGGAGCCCTCCGTCTACTAACTCGCCTATTTGTTGCGGTGTCTCATGTGTTGATGAAGAATTATATACTACCTCATCCTTATTGGTTTTCTTCCCACCGACGGTGGGCGCTGATACGTCTTTTAAATCCTTATCCAGGTCACGCCCCCTAGGGGCGTACGATGGTGTTTCTCAAGATTGAATCATATTAGGCCATGTAGAGTCAAAACGAAACATTGGTGTGCGTTATCCTCGGGTTCGCTATACGCAAAGCGTGCGCCGTCTCGGTCCCAAACGGTGGCGGACGCCTAACCCCATAGCCCACCTGCCCGCGATAAGCAAGCACAGTTAAGTTCCGACAAGTCGCTGCAAGTGTGGAAACCATTGAAACTGCATTGAACGAGATGAAAGCGTGGTGTCTTATGGAAATGTTCTCCTTGGAGTACTGCTGTGACAGTTTTCCCTTCACCTTCGGTAGGTCACGGTAGACGCGCTCGAGCCCCTCCACGCCGCGATGGCGGTGACGTGGGACGTCACGACGCACCGAAGCGGTCCCAGTGCCGATGCTCCCACGATTGTGTACCTTCGCGAACGAAGCGCCGCAGGTGGTGGGTTAAGCTCTTTGGGACGGGCTCGCCGTAAAGAGCTTTCCAACGGTCAGCCGGTGCCTGGTTGTGCCACCTAGTGCTTCTCAATTCTTGGGATAAGTACGTCAGGTACAGTAGTGGTAACCATATGCAACGGTGGTAAGTCCGCAAGCGGGTTTGCCCCTTCAGCACCATCATTTCCTTCAACACTTCCGAGTCGGATAAGCCGAAAGTGTGACAATCGCCTAACGCCTCATCGAAACACCTGGCCGCAATTGCTACCCCCTCGCCTTGGTCAAGCCATTCTTAGCGTCCCTGCCGCCAAGCTCGGAGTAAACGGTGCCCTGATATTCGGGAAACTCACCCATCATTGCAAGAGCATTGGCCGTCTAACCCGAAGGACATATTGTCGTCGGGGCAGGCTTGGCACGACAAGGGATCGGCGGCGTAGGACACCCCCGCTTCTGTCGATGCTTCTTCGAAGACGAAAGTCCCTGCTGCGCACGACTGACAGGCCTTCTCGGTCATGTAGTCGCCGCCCTGGTAAGTCTCCAGGAGAACCTCGGTGAAACCGTCGGTGTCTGCGGCAAGGGGGTTGCGTCATCGGCTGATATCGAAATCAACTTCGTACTGTAATCATTTCGAGTGGTTGGGAAAGCGACTTCCACGGTGCTCACCAGGTGATTGGCTACGCTTGTAGCAATAAAATTAGAGTAGACCGACCAACATAGATAGACGCATTTCCTATCACCTTAGACTACAACGCTAGCAATATTCGAGGACCGACATGTGGACATGGCTCGACGCGAAACTATATGCTATGGAATGTGTCCGTCATGGCACGGCTTTGGTGCCCTCACCATCGAGGCAGGCGCACTCGGTCCCTCCGTCCTCAAGCCCGGCGGTGCTCGATCCACAGGCCACGCATGCAGAGGCGTCGGAAAGCGCCGCTTGAGAGGATTCCGTGCATGAGGTGCACACAAAGCCTGCCGCACAAACAAGTTGACAGACACTTTTGACGCCACCCCTTACAAAGCTACAAGGGCTATGATGAGCCGAGGATGGGCTCGTCCGCAACGGTTTCGCATGCCTTTGGTATGAGGTAGCAGAGATGGTCTGATTTGCTTGATGGGGAGGTTGAGGTGACAGAAGGGCTATCGCCTAACGTAATACCGCCCTATTCCATCAGCCCGTCTCCTCGAGGATTAATGAACGCGGAATGTCGGCGCTTTTTCTTTCAAACGTGTATTCCCCATCCTCACGCGAACACGGCTGTAAACATTATCTACATGACATATGTACATGTAGTCTGATACGAGCAAGAAATTCTACACTTGAGGACAGCTAGCAACGCCAGCTGTGACCACAAGCTCCTTGGTTCGAAAACGGTCGCCTTACCGGAGCAGGCTCCTGACTGCAGAGCACCGGTAGAGCACGTGGATGTCTCGATGATGAACCCATCGGCGCACGTGCAGGCAACGGCATTGCCGTACACGTCCAGGCTAGACACATCGGGCACCTTGTTGCCATTGTTTCCAGTCCCATCGCTGCGCCATTTCGGAAATTATCACCCAGTTACGTACGCATTGTAGCAGGAGTTGATGGCAGCGCAGATTGGGGACGGGTAGATCAACTTGGGTAGGTCGCTGTAACGATATTATGGTTGTCGAGCTGTCTACTACAGACCTCGACCTTGTATCGCAGCGCATCTGCCACGGGTGAGTTTGCGCAATCCAACCGCCACTCGCCACTCACACTACGGGTTGTGTTCACAAAGATACAGCCGATCCGTCCTGCAAGATCGGAACGGAGACTTCCAAAATCTCTATATAGTCTACAGGAGAGCGAGCTACACCCGCCACTATCGGGCCTCGCCTCCCAAAATCCCCTTCATCTTGAGAGTAGGCATACAATCCACCTGACGAAGGACGTTCGAAGACGGCTGCTTCGATGCACACCTGTCATCGTCACAACGGACGCACTCCAAGCTGCTGATATCCAGATACTCGAGGTCCGTTAGCGAGCACGACACGGTTGATCCCACCTCTATCCCGCGTACAATCCCAGGGACTGCTGCCAAGACAGCGAGCAGGAGAAGAAACATTGTCTGGCATCCTCGCCCACTCGCCTTCATGCTGACAAGCACACACCGAGAGAGTTATCTCCTCATTTGAACCTCTGTCTCCCGCGGCCGCTGCCGCTGGGGAAAGAAAGCAGGTGCGAACCTTTTTGCACACCCTCCCGAAACATACAAATTCCGCGTCGCCCCCTCTCCCTTGCCTGCCTCTTGGGTACTGACTGCTGTGTGTTCGCGCTGTTCCTCAGTACTCGTCCACAGCTGAACGCCCACGGTTTCGGCAGATAATGGCGGAAGAGCAGGATGGTGCGTCGAGCAAGGGATGGGGCTGGTTACGGCAGGTAAAGATTCCCCCAAAACGCCTGCGACTGGGCACTAATTGTAGTCTAGAGGAGAAACCTTTTTGGTGACGATAGAACAACTCGCTCGGTGAGCATCACCGACCGACTTGTGGGCTTCATGATAGGGGCAAGCCGTGCTTTCCTCCGGCCTTCTCTAGTGAGGAATTTTTTGTTGCATTGTTGGTCTCGCAACGGTATCGACAGCACGAGCCTGGTATCTACGACTGCCCTATCTCTCTTGAAGTGCACGTAAAATTTGTTCGGAGTTTGACCGCAATTCCGCGGAGCCCCATAATCAACCCGCACGCACACCAGACCAACGTAGCTTCTAGCTAACCCTTCATCTCAAGGCCTCACCCGGTAGTAGACTCCTCGAGGGCGATTCATGCGGATAATTTCTCGCCACGCAAATGGGTCACGAAGGCCGGTCCAGCACTCACCAACCAAAAAATTGGTACTGTACTTCGAAAATGCGAACGTAGTACATTTGCCCAGAACGTACACCACCGTACTTCTGGCGCCCCCATACCGCTTCATGATGTGTGTTGAACTACAACTGACAAGGGGGGAGGGACTTCGAGCACGTACACACGTACCTAGCGCTCGCTCCATGGCTTTGTCTCGGCACGTAGCCTTACACGGCGGTTAAAGCGCAACGGAGGCTGCGGAGCAACTCAATTGTGGAACAAACACACGGTTTGCTATCGCGAAAGCCGCTCAGCATTTGACACTAATAATGAAAGGGGCAGTTGCCAACGGCATGCATACAAATAAGGACAGACGCCATTGCCTCGCGCCTAAACCTTGTCTTGGTCGCTAGTGGACAGGGCACCAAGAAAAGGTTAGGTCAGCACGTATGCACACGTCGCTTTGATATATCCTCCTATATTAGGTGGGTTGGTTCCAAAGACGGCGCGCGCGAAAGGCTTAGGCTTACGTGAGGGGGGCCGTTCGGGTCTTGCCGGGAATTGGGTCTCTGAATCTAACGCAACTAACGACTGGCCTCGGGCAAGATCGCTCCCTGTGGAAAAATATGGCGCTTTTTTTCATGTTTTATCAGGACAGCGGCGTATGTATCCTGAAATCACAAACCCGGGAGGCTGTTCGTTCCGCCCTGTATTCTTCGTCGTCACTATCCAAAATTCCGCCACGTTTTTTTATAACCCCAAGATGTGCCTCAAGCCTGCACCTTTGTCACGGCCAATGTAAGCTCTTTCGAAAGCTCTTGGAATCAGCTTAAGTATGTTCCGTGAATCGATGGTGTTCCCGAGATATTTATTTGTGTGTACGGGACCCATACTCCACTGTGCGCCTGTACGCTCAGGTTCAGAGCACGACGCAGCAGTTGGGGCAGATCTGCACGGAGGGAGTCGGAGAGGCGAAGAGGAGGCTGGAAGAGAACCGCCCCGGCATCGACCAGTTCGTGAAGAACATCGGAGACAACATGCAGCAGGGCGTCAAGAAAGTGCAAGAGGTGCGACCTCTCACGAAAGTGCTGGGGTTTTTTTTCTGTCATGATAAAACGTTGTTGGTCGATGCGTAGTGGACAAGGGGGAGTGGGGCACAAAAGAAAACGTCAACGTCGCTCTTTTTTGTGCAAGTAGGCATGCACACATCACCTTTGTAGGGTTGGTTTCAACACTGTGCTTGCGAAAGCTGGTCAGTAGGTGTGGAACGACGCTCCCCCCTTTTCCTCTGTCTCAGAAACAGTGGTAGCTGAGTCACGCGTTCATCAGCTACTTGAGCTACCGTGTAAAGTATCTCCGCTTTGTTAGAAATTGCTGGCGCTGTTCGTTTTTCTGCGTCTGGCGGTTCAAACATGAATTTTGTGTTTCGTCTAACCGGATTCTCGTTTTTCCCTTGTCGATGGCGGTCGGCTTTTGCCCCCCCCCTTCTGTCCCGTCTGTGTGTGTGTGTGTGTGTGTTTGTTTGTGTGTTTAATCGTCTGGGGCGGGTAGCAGCAACCGGGGCTTGACCAGTTAGTGCGAAACATCGGTGACAATGTCCAAAAGGGGGTGAAAAACATTCAAGAGGTGGGTCGGTCGAAGGGTGGGTTCCTTCCCCGGGTGGATGGGTGGGGTCCTTTCCCCCCCGTTTTGCGAAACGAAAGCACTTGCCTGTTTTCGGTGTTGTTCTTCAGTTTTTTTGTTGTGTCTTGTTTGGTGAGTTACGCATGGATCTATCTACCTATTGGGTAGAGGGTGCCCGATTTTGGTCAGACGATATCTTGTATTTGTTGGTCTCGCTAGTACTTTGTTGGTTGGTCTAGGAGTTTCGATACCCGTTCTGTTTCCACCGGTGGAAGTGTGGTGGAGTGTGGCGATTGTTGTTAGTTTCTCGTTCGAGACTCGCAGCCGTCATCCTCAATTTCATTTGGCAAAAGAGGGAAAACATAACGGTACGTTTTCAATTGCACTCAGGCACCCACGCAACAATATTTGCACTACACGTACAAGGCCGGGTATGGCGGAGCTACGATTTATTTCCGGTTCCCTTGTTCTTTGCTTCTTCGTGGTTGATCGTTACTGCGTCAATGTATCCTTGCTTTTCATCTCCCGTTTTTTTTCAGAAAGCTAACATAACCTCACAGAAAGACTACCCGTTCGAGATTTTTTTTTGTTCGTAGTTTCCGTTGCTGCGTCAGTGTATCCTTGTTTTCCATCTCCCGTTTTTTTTTGTTCGTGGTTTCCGTTACTGCGTCAATGTATCCTTGCATTTCATCTCCCTTTTTTTTTTTCGCGTCCGCCTTCCTCTTGTACCCGCCGCACAGAACCTCGTTCGAGACCCTTGGTCCTCCCCTCCCACCGCCGCCGAGCTGGCGTCCCTAGACCTCGTCTACGTCAACGACCGCGTCATCGCCATGGGCTTTCCGGTAGACAAGCGACCCCCCTCCGCCGCGCCCGGTGTGGAAGGTCCATCTCCTCCTCCCCGAGCGAGTGCAACGACGAGGGCGGGAAACGACATCGATCTCGTGGCGGCGCTGTTGAGGAGCCGCCACGCGGGGCACTACATGGTCTGGAACGTGTCGGAAGAGGGCTACGATTACTCGTTGTTCCAGGACCAGGTTAGTGTTACATAAGCCTCCTTTTTTTTTTTTGCTTGGTTGTGTTTTTGTAAGGAACTGGTTTCTCGCTGTGTAGTCTTGTTGTTTTGAAGGTGCCTTGTTTTTGTTTCTCTCTCGGATTTATCTGTGCTTTTCGAAACAAACAGTTGAGTCGTGGGCAAGGTACGGCCGCTTGTTTCCCATCTTCTCTCGGAGTTACCCTTTCAAAATGTGCAACTCCCTTTAGCCGGATATACCACGTCAGCATCCCCCCCCCCCCCCCCCCCTGGTATAACGTCCTGAATTTCG